CCTCAGTAATCTCCTCAGCAACTTACTCCAGACAACCGGTACTTTACCTCAGTAAATGAGAACCCACCCTTGACAGTAACTTCCTCAGTAACTTAGTGACTTACCAGTACTTAACCTCAGTAACTTCCTCAGTAACTTCCTCAGTAACTTCCTCAGTAACTTCCTCAGTAACTTACTCAGTAACTTACTCAGTAACTTACCAGTACTTAGCCTCAGTAACTTACCACCAGTAACTTACCACCAGTAACTTGCCACCAGTAACTTACCACCAGTAACTTACCACCAGTATCCCATTAACAGACAGGCGACGTCGGTACACCTATGAGCTGTCGAAAAAGCCGACCCAAGTTTGAATCCAAATGCAACCAGCTGCACAGAATAAACCTCGCTATAAATTGCCTGGTGGTGGTTGAAGCCTCAAGGTGATGATATCTCAATTTCCCCGTCGCCCTTTTTCGAAGCCTTCAATGATGACTACCTCCTAGCCTCCTCCTGCCGAGGCGAATCCCCCCTGCGTGCCAAAAAACAATTTGCACGGCCGCGAGAAACGTGCTGCCGCTTTCTGATGGCTGGTGCCACCTGCTATTTTGGTCCGGTAGCACTGTTCGCCCAAAGAACCTGGATTATTGCAGTTTCGATTCTCCAGTGTCGTTGCTCGAGGTACTGGTTGGTTTATAGAATCTCCGCGGCCCTCTTAACAGACCAGCACCCCAACCTCAGTGGGAGACAACCTCTGTGTGAAACCACCAGTAGATCCGAAAGACCAGACTGAGCCTCTTCTAAAAATACAGGAGGACATGAACCGCTGATGGTTTAAGAGGGGCCCAGAGAGTGTATACCCCACCCGCTGATTTTATCAACGGTCCCTGGCCTCTGAATTTTTAGGAGAGGCTCAGTCTGGTCTTTTGGATGCGCTGGTGGTTTAAGAGGGACCCAGAGAGTGTATACCCCACCCACACACGGCTGGTTGTCTGTGTCGATACAATCTCTGCGCCCCTCTTAACAGACCAGTACCCACACCAGCACTGTGTGGGTATATTACTATATTATGCATTTTTTTTTTAATTTATTATTATTATTATTTTTAAACAGAACCTTACGGCTCTGGCTCCTTTTCCATTCTGGGGAGCATCAGACTATATTATGCATTTTACTATTTTTCTGTTGTTGCAGTTTTCTCTATTCAGGAGAAGAGCCTTAAATGTACTATATATATGCCTAATGCCCTAAGCTATTTTAAGGTTATGGGTCTACGCCTACCTAACTCTGTTCTGTGGGGAGAGCAGCACCCAAGCTCCTAACACTTGGTGCGCGCTGGAAAGTGAGACACCAAGACTTCCACGCCCAGCCAGGAGGAACAAGCCGACTCTCTCAGTCGGTGAACCCGAAGTATGCCACACAGGGGGTCGTGGGGAATCAAATGGATGCCGTGCCAGCGGGGAATAGATAGAACCCACAACCTCCAGTGTACCACTTACGTGCTCAACCAACTGAGCTACGCCTTTGGCCGTCTATTTGCCCCGCCCCTCCCCCCCCCCCCCCCCCCCCCCCCCCC